GGGGGGGGGGGGGGGGGGGAGCGGAGTCTTTAAAATACTACTGTCAGACACAGGAGCGGGGGCTCAGATTTTAGTCACGTAGTCGTTATTTGTTTTTTCTTTCATAATACATTCACTAGTAATTTAAGAATGCATGCAGTCTTATGCTGTAAAGAAGAGTATGAGCCAATTTTTTTTTCAATTTTTACCTGTGAAATGATTTAAAATCATAATTATGAATTACTGTGTAAATACTAAAGGGGAGTTGGGGGTCTTGGCATGTAATACGAGTGGTCACCGAGGGGAGGGAGGGGTTGAAGAAACTAAAAAAATAGATCGCTTAGTATGCGTATGTTCCCTTATTTAGGTATCGAGTATTTAACATTTGGCACAACATTTATTCAATCTAGTAAACCGAGTTTTGATTCTCTTGTTGTTCAAGATATTAAATGTCAGATCTACTTTTATTATTTCTATACGTAACCTTTTCAGTTGTGTTTATGGTCATGTTAATCTGTTCCATAACTTTGCGATTATAAAACAATACTAACCCAATAATTTTGATAAAAATGTCACTGTTTGTTCTTGTGAGCAGGACTTGTGTGAAATTAATTATTGAATAATTATAACAAATATAACATTATTCACTGATGAAACAACTTAGTCAATCTACGATTTCAGTAATCGGGGGTTTCTGAGACCAAAATCTCTAAATGAAACATATCGTCATTCCAGTCATTGACTTTGACAAAACAGATGATGATTTTGAACGGAGGTTTTAGTCTCAGAAACCCACTGTACGTCATATTGAAATTGAAGTCCAATTAGTTGCTAGTTCTTTTGACTAAATATATCTGTAACCTTTTAACGAGTCCCGGCGGTTGACATTTCAACATGATGTCCGCTGTCCGGTTTTATTTTTAAAATGGCATACAATTACATCTTCCTTCATCCATCCAAGTATATTTCCTTTGCTCTTAATTGTTAACATGTTAAAAATGTTGATTTTTATCTTTCAAACTTTTTCAATGCGTTATTCACTTTTATGTGATCTTGAATATCGTATTCCATTTCGAGGGAATCCATTGGCGCTGTATATTCTCAGACAAAGCGCACAATCGCGCTACAACGCTGATTGTCTCAATTGAACGCAACAGCTTTATTGATATATATTGTGGACGCCAATTGATGTTATGTCATCCTCCAAAACTTGTGTTTGCACTTCATTTAAATTGGACGTCAGTAAAGTACTGTGCTTCTGAAGTTGTATACAACTTAGAAAGTAAGGTTGTGAGATAAACAATGTAACGCATAATATCGTAAAAATATTGTGTCAATGACCTGATATACTTTTATGTCACTAACTGTTTAGTTCGTAATGATGATTTTAACTGAATTCCACAATTGTTTCCGCAAACCACCAATAGATGGCGCTGCTCGGAAATTAAAACGCGCTATAGAACTATTAATGCATAATTACTTACCTGTTATGATTTTTTTGTCGTCGTAGTTGGCCTGTTAAAGTGTTAAATAAAGTGTGCAAGTGTGAGTGTTTTCGTGAATCCCTAAGTAGTTAATTGTACATTAACTATTATACAATTCGATATTATGTTAAAAATAAAAGATTTATATACATTGTGACACATTTACCTTTAAGAATATTTGTATATACTTATTTACATAACACTTCGAAATTCTCTAACTAGATCGTCTTAATTATATGTCATTAATCCTTGACATTAAAAGTTTTCTGTTGTTTTTAACAAGAGGCGTTGTTCTTGTTTCAGGTTACCTGACACGGGACAACCACCTATAATAATATCTCTGGCGGATAACGCGAAATTGGATTTAAAAACATCGGACGAACTATTGTTTGTCAATGACTCTGAAGAACACAATGACACGAAAAAGTTTTCCGTCGGAGAGGCCGACGCTGTGGAGGAAGATAAACAAAATGCAGAAGAAACGGTTACAGAGAAAGATTCTACAGAGCCATTACTTATCGTTAAAGCAAAACCAATGCACGAAACAAAACAAACAGAAGAAGCATTTCGAAGCACCACTCCTATGCCTGAAACAGACAAAGAATCTCAATCCGAGGAGTGGAGAGAAGAAAACATTCCAGTCAAACCGGAGACGCCGCAGGAAGATATACCTTCGTTCTCAGAGTGGGCTCAGAAGCAACTGGCCGAGGCCGAGAAAAAAGACACCGTATTGAACCACTCGAGTCAACCTAGTCATAGCAATACAAATCTTAGTAATAAAAGCACAAAGCTTCGCTCAAAAAATTACGCTTCGCTCGCTTGCGGAGCCAAGGTGGTTGCCACCAACCCAGAGGCCGGTTCAGCCAGCTCCATTCTGTCCCCGAACCGGGACGAGTACATGCTCAACACTTGCACCAGCCGTATCTGGTTCGTCATCGAGCTGTGTGAGGCGGTGCAAGCGCAGAAAATAGAGATAGCCAACTTCGAGTTGTTCTCCTCCACGCCCAAAGATTTCGCCGTCTACTTCAGCGATCGATTCCCTACGCGGGACTGGGCTAGCGTCGGCCAGTTCACTGCTCAAGATATGAGGGATGTACAGAGTTTTGATCTGTATCCACATTTATTTGGTAAATTCATAAAAGTCGAGATGCTGTCTCATCACGGCTCTGAACATTACTGCCCCATTTCGCTTTTTAAAGTGTACGGAACATCAGAGTTTGAGGTACTAGAGAAGGAAAGCTCCCAGCACTCGGCTCATATAGACGAAGACGAGGACGACGAGATAATTGATGTTCCCGATGTGCCCACTGCGGAAACGGAACCCTCGAAAAACCTTTTCGGGTCTGCAAGGGATGCAGTCATGTCTATTATGAAGAAAGCTGCTCAAGCGTTAGTGAAGACGGAAGTTCCTAAAAATGTATCTAACGAAAGTAACGATACGTCGGTGGACGCAATGTACAAAAAGTGTTGTTCTCCAAGCCATATTATTGTATGTGATAATTGTAGTGAAACGCTTTATAATGAAGTATATGAGCTACTCAGTTGTAGTTCGGACAAATTAACTAATTTAGTGCGTCAAGTGTTCCTACGTGAGACTTTGAAGTGTACGGGAATTTGTCAACCTTACGGTTTAGATTTTAAAAGTACAAAAACAATCGAGTTCAGTGACGAACGTGTCGCGTACATGAACGCTTTATTTCCCCCGAAATATTTAGCTGCACTGTGCAATATGCTTGCAATTAAAGAGAAGAAGGTCGTACTAAATACGAGTTTCGAGACAGAACAAAATGTAACCACAAATATTACATTGGACGAAACACCGCATAAACTGAACGGTGAAACTAATTCCGATTTAGAAATTAAATTAGTTCCGATCAAAACCGGCGATACGGTAGACGAGAAAACTAATGAAACACAATTGAAAGAAACACCAGCACCTTCTGAACAAATAGATAAAAATAATATAACTATAGAGATATTAAAAGAAGAAAATGACGAAACAGACGTTAAAAAGGAAGAACCGCAGTCAGTACCAGAAGACATTCCAACTCCAGAGCCACAAGAAAACTATCAGCTCGAAAATGATAAAGTTTTGGAATCAGAGGTTGAAAACGAAGGAAAAGAGGGATCTATAAAGACAGATAATAAAAATGGAAAACACGAAACGTTAAATGACAAACCAAAGGAAGCTCTGGTAGTTGACGATGTGAACGAGCAAATGATTATGATCGAAAGCGACCACTTCATATCGGACCTGGATCAGATGGCGGTAGATCCCGCGCCCACCGGCACGCAGCCCGCACTTAGCCAGAACCAGGCGCAGACCACTATACAAAAAGAGTCAGTTTTCCTGAGATTGTCTAACAGAGTTAAGGTATAATTCCAATTCATTCATCTATCTTTGTCTGATGTTTCACTTCAGAAACAAAAGTTCTGATTTATGTACTATCTCACTTTACATTTTTAAGTTCACGATACATTTTATATAATACTACTTTGGTAAATGCGATTGAATTGCTGACAGTTCCATCTACTCTACTGCAAAAATCTTTATAAAAAATGTTGCCGAGGAGTAAACTTTTTTAAATGAATATGTCTGTTTGTAGACTTTTCAAAAGGTAGCTTTGCCTACCCCCCCTCCCCCTCTAAATATGAAAATAGGTTTCTTAACAAAATTTATTTCTCAATTTCAGACTTTAGAACGAAACATGTCACTATCTGGTCAATATCTGGAGGAGCTGAGCAGGCGATACAAGAAACAAGTCGAGGAAATGCAGAAGTCATTCGAGAAGACCATGGTCCAGATGTCGGAGGAGCGGCGGAAGAGCAACGAGAGGGAGCAAAAGTATTTGGAACAGCTGACCAATCTGCAAGAGCAGATGACGCATATGGCCTCCGCGCTGCATACTTTGATGGAGGAGAGAAATAGTTGGTTTGGAAACATGACAGTCCTGAAATTCGTACTATTTCAGTCCATAATACTCAGCATCGCGTTCTATTATGTTACTAAAAGAAGAAAGAGGGAGTCTATTGTAGTTATGCCGGTCACAAAGAAGATTAAGAAAAGGCAGGAGAGGTTCAGAAGAAAATCGGTGGAAGGCGTAAGCGGCCACGCCACACCCTCGGCTAAAAAGCGGAGACCGAGCGAGGAGGCGTTCGAGATAGAGAGGCAGTCGACGGAGGAAATGGCCACGATGGACAGGGAACTAAACGACGGAGACTGGCAGGTGGCTAAAAAGAACAGACGACGCAAGACTTCCGTAATACATAGAGGTCTGGAATATGACGCCACTGTAAATTGCGTCAGACAAGATAGTATAGGGAAGTTACAAGAAAATCTGATACCACTGGACGAGGGCGAATACTTCGCGCCCGTGTCCGAACCGAGGGAGTTTACGGTGGAGGCGCCGCAAAAGAAGGAGTCGCCCAAAACGAACGGCTCGTTTTTTAATAGTCTAAAGTCGAAAACTATGAAGACGAGACGGCTGTCGTCGCCCGCATTTCTCCGGACGCTGAGCCGGCAGAGCGCGCGCAGCACGCCCAGCCCCGTGCTGCGCAGTACGGAGCCCATGTTCAACGGTAAGCTGGGGAAGAAGGCGGCCTCCGAGTCGCCCACTGGTAGCCTGTGGTCAGAGTCCACGGAGCTGTCGCAGGGCAGCCGGCACGACACAGATAGCGCCGGCGCCGGCAAGAAGAAGAAGAGCCTCAAGAATATATTGAAGAAAGTGTTTTGAGAACTTTTATTTTTGTAATGTTGGTGTGTTTGTCGCTCGATGAAGCGTTCAGCTGTTGTAAATTATTTCTTTGCTCGTATGTACTGAAGATATTAATTAAATTATTGTATAAAGTTTATCGTGTCATTGTTAGACCTCATTAGGTGCCAATTGTGATAATTAGGGAGCCTAATTGTTGTTAGCGTTTTGATTTGTGCGTGTTGTGAGTGCGAGTGCTGCGGCGAGATAAATTATGTTCTGGACCGATGTCAACTGGACACTAGTCGGGGGAGAGTTCGGTGCAGTGGCATTAAATGCGTTATATTTATCTGGTCATTTTATTTTCATCCCTTGTCCCTTGAAATAAAAGACAATTACATACTAATAGTATTTTATATTAAATGACAAAAATTCTAATTAATTAGAATTAAAATTTATTTAGTGCAATATATTTCTATTCTTCCTACGTATAAAATACAATAATATTTCACCATTTTGTGACTTAAAGAAGGAAGAAAAATGTTGAGTGATTACTGCATTGACCTTAAACTTCAGAAAATAGTAAAATATAGAATCAAGACAATCTTTTATCTAAATTTTTTGTAAAAGTAACAAATTAAATGTCGCAAAGACAATAATAATTAAGTATACGAAATAAATTCACAATTTTTTAAGTAAACAAGTCGTGACTTTAAAATAGAGAGAGCAGTGATCTCCGGACGATGAACTACGAAATACAATAACAAATTTGCATTGAGGAAACATTTGTATAAATATGTATTGTGTCCGGTATTGGAGGAGCAGGAGCGGGCGCGTGTTTGCGTTGATGGATACGAGATTGAGCGGTGGACGTAGCACGAATATTTGCGACAAGTGCCTTCGTATCGTCTTCTTAAATTGTCCAAAATAACCGTGAGATTTTTAGTGTACTTTACAGATATAAAGCTACACGTTGTTTGTCGCAAATATTTGTGCTAGACCCACAGTTCAAACGAGCGAGGGAATCGCGCTCTCTACCATTCCTAGCTAAAAGATACACCTACAAGGATCTTATAACTATTTTACAAATCCCTTAATGTGATTACAAGACAACAGTTAAATTGAAATATTTTACAATCAAAATAAATTAAAATTTTAATACTTGCTGTAGCCCGTGACTCCGTCAGAAAATTAAAAAAAAAACTATTGGTCGCAGCATAATGTTAAAGCCTTCCTCTATTCAACTATCCAACAAAAAAATATTTTTTCAAATGAGACCAGTAGTTTGAGATATGCGCGTTTAAACAAACAAACTCTTCTGCTTTATAATATTTGTATATATACAATAATTACTGAACGTCTACAATATTATAAGTACCAATACTTATCCCAACATTACATCTCTTTTAAAATACCAACGACATAATGGAGTACAACAACATAGTTATATATTAAACACTTTTATCTTTCTAAAATGAACATACATATATATACATATAATTCATATACATAATAATTTAACAAGAGATTAAAAACATTAACATTGTCCGTTTTAATTATAATTACACTTAAATGAATCTCACTCAGAGTCCCCGACTGGCCGGACCTCAGGAAACAATAGTCACTGATTGTAAGAAGTCCTTCAAATCTACACACTTTATGTTCACCAGTTTCTTCTGTCTCGCTCTCGCATTCAGACCTTTAGCTGCCGTCTCGAGGTCCTCGGTTGTGTAAGGCTTGCTGCTGTTCGTAGCAAATACTATTTCGTTCACTTCTTCATACAATTTCACTGTCGCTAAATATTTAAAATGATTTTTCAGCGTGTTCAGTATAGACTCGTGAAGTTTTACATCTCTGCACACCAGGTTTAATATGAAATGACCTGAAATATAACAAATAATATTACAATAAAACAGCTATTTTTTTTTACATCATAAAATTACAAAAAAATAAGCGGTCACATGAATTCGCTGATATAGTGAAGCGACCCATAGACATCCATAATTTCATATGCCTTGTTGGTTTCAGAAGAGAATATGTGCCCTTACTACGCGTACCCTCCTTCGCGAAATCTACTTTCCCTTCCTTTTCTTTTCTTATAATGATAGGATAGGAATGGTCGGAAGATAGGTAAGGAAGTGGAGTTTTTAAATGAGAGTAATATTAGGTTTCAACTAGGCACACTCATAAACTGTACGCGGAATTGCTTCCACTTGAGGTGCGTGTTCTTTATGGTGATTTCATGTGTAAATTATTTTGATTGTGTGAGTGTTGAAGTGTAAAGTGTGTGGTGTAGGGTAGGTGGAGGGGAGCTGACCGTGTTGTTGCAGCAGCGCGGAGACCTGCTGGAGGGCGAGGTGGTGCAGGAAGTGCGGCGGCGGACAGGAGAGGCCCAGCCCCCGCTCCTTGCTGTCCATGTCGAACATCACCACATCGTACTGCTCTCC